TATATATATATATATATATATATATTGTCATATATATATATATAAACTCCGACGAAACAGTTTGTCACAGCCCCTCGTTTGTTGTCCTCTTCTCTCTCTCTGCCTACGGTTTACCGGGCAGTTCTGTTTGTGACGATATATATATGTATATATATATATATATATTCTTCCTCTCGCCCTACCCCTCCCCTTCTCCCTCTCCCTCTCCCTTCCTCTCCCTCTTCCTCCTCTTCTTCCCCTTCCTCTCCTTCGTCTTCTTCTTTTTCTTCCTCTTCTTTTTCTTCTTCCTCTTCTTCTTCTTTCTCTTCTTCTTCTTTTTCTTCTTTTTTTTTTTTTTTTCTTCTTCTTCCTCTTCCTCTTCTTCTTCTTCTTCTTCTTCTTTGTTTTATCAACACCGTCGACTGAGATCAGCCCTTCCCTTATCTTCGTTGTCGATATTAGGACGGCAGCAGGCTCGTTCATTCTCCCCACCTCCTAGTCCCCCTTCCTCTCAGCGTCGTATTGATCCTGGTTCGTTGTCTGACCGACAACCTGCTTTGGTACGTCGACGACGTTCGTCAATAAAACGCCGACCGCGCCAAATCAGACCGGGCCTTCCAGTGGTGACCGATTCGGATTTGCGAGCAGATCTACCAAACATTTGTGGTCTGACAGCCACGACTGTTTGTCTGCAAGCTTATCAGCGTCAAGGTTATAATGTATCTCAATTTCTTACAATTGCTTATCAGCTTGACGCTGTTGAAAATGAGTTGTTGTATGACCATAATGGTCTACCTCCTGAGGATAGTAATTATACTACCTCAGGAGGCTTTACTAAAAATGTCTTACAGTTAGCATTTCACGGTCGCCACCTTCTTATGCATTATGGGACATCAGGCGAATACCTTAATGCCCGTCCTCATATTTCTGCATTCATTTTGCACAAACCCGAGCACTATATGGCACTCATTCGTGCAGCTGCCGAGTAGTACTGTGGGATGGTGGGACGGTGATTCAGGTTATTGTCAACATAAATGAATTCTTGCAAGGTTTGTCGAATCATACATTGTTCTGGATTGTTGAGTGTCTCTCGTGCGACATTTGTCGGGATAGAGACGTGGTGCGTCTTGGTTGTGGAGTGCATTATCTGTGTCAGCACCATTATTAATCCATTGCGACTGCCGCCGTATGTGCGGAAGGGTGTTTAACATTTCCTCATTGTGCACATCCCTATCACCCAGATGTACGTTGTCCTTTTTGTTTCCAAGGACGCTATCAGAACTGCATGATGCCGCACTGTGACGAACGTCCTGCTGTTTTCTTGACATGTGGGCAACATGTCCTATGTCGGGATTGTTTCGATGGGATGGTTCGTGCTAGCCGTCCGACTGAATGTTGTACTAACGCAACTCTCCTTGGGTATCCTTGTGAACATCCCCGTCATCCTCACCGTAGTTGTCCTATCCACCGAGGGGGTGACAGATGAAGTGTTGAAGAAACAGATAAAAAAAGAAACCGAGTAAAAAGATAGAAAATAAATAAATTAAAAAAAAAACAAGAAAGGAAGAACACAAAAAAAGAAACCTTAGAAAAAAAAAAAGAAAAAAAAAAATAAAATTATGTGGGATGGTAATTGGATTATCTGTGGGATGTGTCACTTGCTTCGTCTGTTTAATAGGCTTTCTTCTTTTGTGAGGTTTGGGTTCCTCCGCCTTTTCTTTACCTCTTTGCCTTTTGGTTGCGTGCAAGTGGGTCTGTATGACACACAGGGATGGGGGCAGCCAGCGTTCAACCTGTCATCCACGTGGCTGGCCTTGTGCGTAAGAGGTGACGAACAGGTGGGGCTTTCCTTCCTTCTTTTTCGTTTTCTTGTTTTGTCTTTTTTTGCCTTTGCGCTCCGATTTCCAGTGTGACAATATATATATATATATATATACGGGTTATAAATATATGACGATCACTTCTAACAATCACAGTGGGGCTCCTCTCAACCATATATATATGTATGTGAACGCAGACAGTCAAATCCACAGTCGGGATCACCAAACATACCTGCAATCACATCAACGATTCAACCAAAAGTCCATGTACTACATGGGGTCAACTTCAACCACAACTCTCAAAACCCTTGCTTTTAGCTATACAAGCCTCACTGTTTGTGCAACTCTCAAAATAAAATACTCAGTATTTTTCTT